AGCGTACTGGGATGACGATTCGAAAAACTGTACCAATATTGCAAAAGTATCAAAAATGATCAATATTGGAACTGTCCAATAATAATTATTATTACCGTGTCGCATTTTTATGCCGGACAACCATTCTTATCACGACTTAATGATATCTCCCTCCTTTCTATTCAATGCATTGTGAAATCCGTACTCGAATCGGCCGAAGAACGTATATTACATGGGCCGGCTGTTACACAATTTGTGTCGCGATTAGCTGCGCACATGTCACGTCGCGAAGCGCATGCAAACATCCCGGCCGATTGTAGAAAACAAATTAAGCGCCGGCAATAAAAATGGGGAAGAGGGGAAAGGGTTATCAGACCCCCAGTGTGCTTTCGTCACGTGCTTTTATCTCACGGCGACACAACAAGGGATTATTATTGACACTGCAATCTCTTTGTTGTTAAAATCGACTTCTGTTATTTGCATCGTCGAGCACTCAATAATTAGATTTCGCCTTTGCAGTTTGTGAAAATAGAGCCGTTCGTTTCCCCCTTCTTTAGTGTTAAAGTTCTCTTGTAACACGCGGTAAATCGTCGAACTTGACATTGTGCCGAGCATACCGACCTAGCGCACGTCATTAAGTGGATCACGCCGGTAACGAGTTTGACGGCTCAGCTCCTTGGAGATACATTGATTCTTTTTGCGATACAGCGGTTCTCAAGATTCGAACTTTCAACTCTTTGAACCGCGACGAAAATCAAAGAAGGCGAGTCAACATTTCGGCCGCGTGATTAATCTATTTCGTAAACTAGATTTTCGCATAAATAAGATAATCCCGATATACTCTCTAAATTTCTTCGAGTGAAATTCCGCTTGAGAATCAGAGTCATCCGAGCGACTTTTCATGCTGAGCGTAAATTCTTCTCGCCAATATTTGCTCCGATATCACGTCTTCATAACCGGCGAATAGATGATCACTTTATATATAATAACGAGCTATTAACATAGCAGCAGGGCTGACTGATGACTCGTCGGCGTTATCGGCGCAAAGTTGAAAGGTCGCCGTGTACGTCTATGTACGCAGGGGGTCGCCGATAAACTCTGGCTGTTTGCGGCGGGAAATTTCCTCGCCCATCGGCCTTGGCGATGATGAAAAGAGGAAAAGCAAGAAATCGGCCGGCTTTTTTCGATCTCTCTCCGGTCGACAAGTGCGGAAGAATGAGAGAGAACAAAGAAACACATCGCGTTAAAAATAGAGACAGCACTGCCCGTGTACCATTGCTCACGTGTCGTCTCGCGAAACTCGTGCACCGGAGTCACGTGCACTGAAAATCGTCCGTCTGTGATACTCGCGTGCGTTTCGGTACTTGACGATTTTTTTCCAATCTGACATCCTTTTCGGGTAATTAAACGGGGTAATCGGGAAAGAAAGCCGATGACATGACGTGAAACAATTATTATTGAAAAAAAATGGAGGAATAAAGAGTGTACTTTATGGATGGAGGAAGAAGAGAAAAGGAAAGAGAGAGAAGAATTTCCCTATGCAATCCATCTAGTTTTAGTGAATGTGAAAAAGCAGAGGGAGAGGTAAATTTATTTATATCACTTTATTAAAGTACTACTACTTTACTGCTCTTTTCGATTTTTTATTCAATTTTATGAATCTATTAATTCCATATAAAATCTATTAATTCTAGCGATTTTGCAAACTACAGATTCCTTCGGTTTTTATCCCAACAATTCGTTTAGAAAAATTCACTTGTGTCCAGTTAAAACATTTGCTTTTTTTTCGTAAAAAAGATATATAATAAATCAAAGAATCCGGAGAAAAGGCAGAGTTTTAAAATTATATTTGAACGCCTGAATTAACAAACTATTAAGATCTATGTCAAGAGCGTAATTACAAAATTACAAAAAGAGAGATGCTATTGCACGAAATAGAATTTCACAAACATCGATCGGACTCTTTTTTTTGTTTTGCACACACGCAAGAGCGTTACCGATAATTCTTCTTCGAAGAAAAGCCTCCTGGTCGCCATCTAACGCGCAATCAGGTGAAATCGAGTGAGTTGATATGGAAGAGAACTGCCGCGCGATAACGTGAGTATACATTAGCTTATGATAAATAAAACGTAGGAAATCAATCCGAGATATATAAGATTAATATCTGAGAAAATCACTTTATAAATTGATTTGCACAATGTGTAAAAGATTATGTTGATCACATTTATAATACTAAATAGTTTTTTTTTTCTGCAGCGAACCCGTGGAGAATCCCGCGAACACGACTCTTGTCTGCACCGAAGGATAGTCTTTATCAACACGATTAGTCACGTGCGAGACGTATGCTCGACGCTACCAGCATCGGCTCACGGAGTTCTCGGGAAGAAAGGCGATAGCCGGCGTGGATCCAATTTTGTCGGTAGATCGAGTTTCTGCCCTTCGCCGCGTTAGTATAATATATAATAATAGAGTCGCGGGCGACGATAAGGAGCGCCGATCCTTCCGAGAAGAATCCTTGTTTTTGCCTAAGCGGCAATTATATGAGAACACCGCGGATTATCGACGCGGAGGAGAAATATCGCGGAAAAGGGAAGGGAATAATACAGAGAAGGAGGTAAAAGCACTCTCCAATAAAAACGTCCGGAAAAACCCCGCTTCTTTTTCATTGTTTTCTCCAAAAAATTCGTTTAGAAAAATTTATATAGTTAAAAACTAGTTTAAAAACTGCTATATATAACATATTAACGTTATCAAATTTCAGTAAAGTGCACGCAATTATTTTCCTCAGTAAGCATGAAAAAACATTTTGTCCTTGTCCAAATTTTTAACATACTCATCTAATGAATGCCAACCAACATAACATCGATATTATAAATTTCCCATTCAACAATTGTTAACACGCGTGTGAGTTGTTGTTGTTGAATGGTATGGTTGGTGTATTTATTTAACACATTGTGCTATATATATTTTTGAGTCTCGATATTCAATGTGCGCAAGTATTAAAATAACACTTGCAAGTGCGAAAATAGTGCAATTCGAATGAATATTTTCAATCGAAAGCCTAATGTACATCACGAGAACATATTCGCTCATACGGAGGTAGAATTCACTGAGTGGCAATATCTTCACGAAAATACTTTTCACTCGTTTTGAATGAGATTCCCTTCCAAGAAATTCGGAGAGTAGAGTACACAGAATTAACATGCATCGACGTAAACTGACACCGCGGGATCAAATTCGCGATCATTTCCCGCCAGACGAACTTAATAATAGCACGAAGATATTTGATTATCTCAACTCTTTTCTCGTCCGTTCCTCCTCGCCGACGGATATTTAATTATAACACCGCGCTGCTCACAATTGTTTTCGACGGAAATTGGGAGGAGTTTCTTTCGATTTCCTTCGTGCTTTCCACGGAGATAATCGAATCTCGCGGGAGATTCCGCTGTCAATGCTTATTTTATCTTGCGCCGAAAAACACGACGGAAACTACTAAGCGTTTCTTTTCATACCTGATGATGAGACATCGGTCGATACCATCCGGTGGCATTTAAAACAAACCGCCGGAAAATTTCATTACGTAAAAGATTTCGCTTTGCAAATTTAATATTTCCACCTTGCCGTCGTCGACTTATGCGGCCGATGAAAGATCGAATCGAATAATGAAAGTGTGTAATCACGCAGCGATTATTCCCGCTTGTTTTTATGACCGTTAGCCCGTGGGAACGAGCGGAATTCTACGTCGCATCATTTCTACAAGCTGAGCGTGTAATATCATCGCTCACGCGTGCCCGAAACGGCGCGTGCGGCCGTCTGTGATGAACACGCATATAGTCACACATGCGCTAATATAAATATTTCTTACAGACGGGACGGGAAAATTCCATGCGGAAAAAAGATAAACAGGTGTTTATCGAATTAACTCAGTAAACAAGAAATCATTAACATGACATCATTCATTATTTATATAACACGTTTTCAAATGTCTTCTTCTTCCTAATGTCGACTAATGTCATTGTTGGATAATTATTGAATAATGTATACAATTGTTAACAATATTTCATCTAAACATTAAAAGTAATATTTGTACACTATGATTCTTAAAAATTTACACGGAAAAAAATTCTGTATTAATACTTTAATTATTGAAACAATACATAAACCAGTAGTTTTTAAGGCTTATTCGTGTTGGAAATTATTATTGATTTGTTTCTCCGTATAAGAATATTATCGAATAACAATTTAAAAACATTAGTCAGAATATTACGAAATTTACATAAAATGTCTTTTTCATTCAATGCCTCGAAAGATTGATTTAATGTTTACCGGGAAGTTAGATAAGAAATTATTTGATAGATGAATATTTTTTCCATTAGTCCCTTCCCCTCGAGATCGAGAATTCGTTCGAAGAGGCTTATATTTCCCACGTTATCGAGCTGCACTAGACTTTATTACCACAGCATTTTACGAGCGATTAGATAGATAGACCATCTTCCCAGTATAAAGTGATATATTTGATAGTAACGCGGGATACAATGTTCCCTGATATTCCGCTTTTTAATTTTATCAAAGGATGGAGAGGAGAAGATGGAAATTTTTTCACTAAGAATTTCACGTTTCCGATTTCAAGGATTGAAAGGAAATTTGATAAATCGATTTCTTTCACTTGTGTAATTTAATTCTTCCAATTAATTCACTTATCGCGCAGAATTTCCTTTATCAATGTCTTAATTAAGAACATCGTCCCGTTGAGACGAAAAGAATTGGAAGATCGCGATTTTGTTCAACAGTCTCGAGGTCAAGCGCTGAAAGTAAATAGCTAAAATATATAACTGCTTTTACTGAAGGTTAGGATTAGATATTGAAGAAGTATAGATTTAGTATACTTCACATGTTTACCAGACACGTTCGCGATGATTCTCCAATTGTTTCGAACGATGAGTCGCGACAGAACAAAAGCAGATTGTTAACTGTACTGGTTGAAAATCGCCGAGGGTTAATCCCGAATTATGCACACTCACCGTCGACGACACTGTTATTCGGCAAACGACGCGCGACGACATTGTCCACCGTGTTGATCGCGAAGTCCGGATCGTCCGCGTCGAAGCACACTCCCTCCTCGTAATCCGTCAATACTGTCTCCGTCATGTTTCGCCGAGAGTGTTGTCACGAAGGATAGCTGTCTGAAACCGCGCATCTTTGAATTTACCTCCCGTTTCGCTCGCAAAACAATACGCACACTTGTGTACCCAGTAAGTAAGAGATCATCAACACGACGTTATTACAACGATATTTTATAACGTTTTCAAATGTGTAATTCGCAATATTTGTGACATGAAACAAAAAACAATCTCCACAGTGAGCGGAATGAATCGAGACAACTTTGAGATAAAGAACTCTGAAAGGGTATCTTATACGATTTTGGACATTCCGCTCATCCCTGACGACATATTGGTGCAATAAAATCAAAAGACTGATTGACGACGGTTTCTTGTTTACAGAACAGGTACATCTTCGTTCGAAAAAGTACGTTAGTTAGGTGGCTTTGTCGAAGGAATTCACGGAGCCGAGCGGCGTCCTTCCATGGGAAAAACGCACGAGGTTGCGTAACACTTTACCTGCGGTCGTCCACGCTTCTACTTCACGCCGGTGTTGATCCTTTCGCGGAAGAACTCAGCCGGCGACGACGTGCGCGCGTGACGACAATCGGCGGTCGACTGACACCTGACGCGCGTTATCGCGTATTTCGACGCGCGTTTCTCGTTTACTTACAAGAGACAGCACGCAATTGGCAAATTTCTTAAATCAGGATAGCGTTACAGAAAGATTGCATCGCAGTGTATTTATCTGTGATTATATTCCGGACTATTCCTAAACTCTTATATCTCTGTGAGAAACTTACGTACAGTCTTTAAGTTAACCAAGACAATAATATAGCGGATATATATTCTAGATCGAAAGAAAACGTTGTTGTATACAAATTTTACCCCTTTTCAGCCAGATTATTTCTACTTTTTTTTTTATAACATAAAAAGGTAAGCAACTTCGTTATCTCAACAAATCTTTTATATTAATTTGATAGAATTAATAGATGATATTTTCAGGCAACTTACTATACTTACTTTTAAGTTAATAATGTTTGACACATGTAACGAAGAAACTAATAAAGGGGGGTAGCTCACATTGGCTAATTTAATATAAAATTTTCGGTACAGCAGAAAAGGCACGATGTGAGTGAATCTTTCACTCTACCGAAATGAATCAACAGTATAGATAGAAAAGATCGAATTAATCGGACAATGAACAAACTAAATACATTTTGATTAGAGAAAATGGAATTTCTATTTCTTAGGAAACAACTGTTCTGTTCCTTTCCAACAAAACATATTTAGTTGTCTTACTAATTCAACAGATATTTTTTCTCCGTGACATTCTGAAAATATATTAACATGAAGACTCCTTTCCGTAAATATGTTGATTAATTAAGATGGATACTCCAATTTTTTTGCGAAATAAGTTGAAAACACAAAGGTTCATTTTCTCTAGATAATAGATACAATATAAACATTTTCCAGCTTCTTACTGATTGTGAAAGTTTTTGAAATATGCTATTTATCGGGAGTGAGGGTAAAAGCTAGTATTCCAATGTTCCCCACTACTACTCACAACCATCAACTCCAAAAACTTGAAATGCCGTGTGGTTACACCAGTCTTTCAATATAAGAATAAACCTTATTGGATTTATAGAGAAAAAGAACCCGAGTAGGTAACTTCCTTTATTTATATTATGTCAATGTAATATAATATACCCACTGAGTGGTCCGGCCGAGGGCCTCTAATATTTTATATACATATATTATTCTTTCATGATGATAGTAATACAAAAGTCTAATTTTAAAAAAATTCTAAATCAATAAATTTATATAAAATGCAACAATTTTGAAGTCTCGCACTTATACTAGATCGAATCACGTATTCGCGTAAAGATTCCGAGTTCGTTCCTCGTACGCCGCCCAGAGTAGCTTTTTGTATTGCAAAACGGCCGCCAGTTTGTCGGCCGCCTCCGTAATAGCTCTACCGACAACAGCCAGATCGGCACCGGCGTTCACGACGGACCGTGGATCTTTATATCGTTGACCGAGCTTGTCGCCGCCTTTGGATAGCTTGACTCCGGGTGTCAACTGCAGCAGGCCGGGCTGCGAGGAGAGATTTGACTGGCATACGAGGCCTACCACCACGTCGCCGGCTTCCTCAGCCATCGACACCGCGCTCTTCAGATATTCACCACTGGTTAATGCGCCCTCAGACGACATCTCAGCGACCAGGAAGACACCACGCGGCTCTGTGGTGTCCCGGTCGTTCTTCAGTGCGTAGAGGGCATCTTTACCAGAAACCGGATGCATAGTTACCAGATCTGCCCACGTAGACATTCTGTAAATACCACAGTTGTACTGTAACGTGACCGTGTTGCCGATATCGCCAAACTTGCGATCCTCCATCAGCAGGAACTCGTGCTGCCTCGCCAGCTCTTTTAGTTGTCGCACAAAGCTCTCGCTGAAGTCCTCTACGATATCAACATGAGTCTTCAGTACGGCGATGTGAGGTCCTGCTAGATTCGCCAGCTCCAGAATCGCGTCCGTTTTTGTGAGGTCCGCCGCCAGACAGAGATTGGTTAGTTTCCGGTCCATTAGTTCCAGTAACGTCGTGGCCAACGGATTTCTAGCTAGTTTGGCACGTTTGCAATATGGTAGCTTCAGTCTATCGTCTGGCACACCTGCAAAAGTGCATTATTAGCAGATTGTAACGAAACGTACTTCCAAGTTTTCCAGTTTTGACAAGTGCGATTTTCTTGAGAGAAGAATGCTACCACGTCTCTCGACTTACCTTGAACCGAAATGTTTTGCACTTGATTCGTTTTCAGGTAATTCTTCACGTCCTCCACGACTTTCTGTGTGACTTTGCCGGCCTCTAGGAGATATGTCATCAATGTCGTAACAGTGTACAGGCTCTTTACCTTAATCTTATGACTCTCCAGTTCTTTTTTACCACCTTGCTCCCTGTCTATTAACACCAACGCCTGTGTAACGTTCAACTGTTCGTTTCTTAAGACACTTACAGTCTCTAGGATGCTGCTACCACTCGTTATAACGTCCTCAATAATTATGCAATTGTCGCCGGGTGAATACACACCCTCAATCAGCTTCATTGTGCCATACGACTTTGCCTCTTTTCTTTTTATCAACAGTGGAATGTTATTTTCTACAGATATCAGCGTAGCTAGTGGCAATGCCGTGTACGGGACTCCGCAAATTTGAGACACATTTTCTGCAGAATCTTTGACAGGTCTCCACAGAATTTCTGTTAATCTAGACTATAAGAAGAAAAAAGTCAATGACGAAAAAATATTGTTTTATCTATAGAAAGAAATCTCCTTGAAGATTAATATTACATTTTTTTTTAAGATCATAATTATTAGGACCAGATGATATGCATAAAAATGCTTTGCTTTGTAATATATATTAAGCCTACCGGAAAGTTTTTTAATTAAAAGAATATAATAAAATTTCTGTAAAATGATTCGATGATATACTTGAGATGACAGAACTTTCCGGTAGACCTAATATTTCCAGTGTGTATTATATTTACCATGAATTTTGGATAGGATATTATGACTCGGAGATCAAAGTATATCGGTGTCTTCAAACCAATCTTTGTTGTAAATGCTCCAAATTTTATAGCTTGAATATCATAAAGTGTCACAGCCAATTCCTTTAGCGTCTCTTCCATTTTGTCTGCAACAAAATGCATAAAAGTTGAAATCAATTTGAGAGTATAAACATTTTGTGATGGCTAAGTGACAAATTGCTTCAAAAAGTAGATCTAACTTATAGTAAATAATTACTGTTCTATTCACAATTATATTGATGTTTGCAATCATTTTCAAGATTGTTATTCCAACATAGAAACTTGCAAGTAGTACATACTTGACATAAAAGAGTGAAAGAATAACACTTAAGATAATCTACGACAACTTAATCGATTCGCTTAATTTACCAAGCAATAAAATTCGCTATTGCAGAGCATAAATTACAAGATCCGGTGTAACAGCCGCCCATTTACAAACTTTTATCAATGTATAAATATATTACGTAATGTGTTGTATAGGAAATGTCGAGCAGAGAATGAACATTAAAGGAGCGCACTGTTGAAGCGCGGTGCAGCTCGTGAGCGGCGACACAAGTATGAGGAAAAGCTCTCTCGGTGGAAGATTTTCGCAAGCGGGCGTTGCCTAGAGGGTAATGTTTATTTATCCGCCCGGTCACTCTCTGCAAGTTTTTTCTTACTGTTCTACGAGATTCTACGAAAGTTAGGAGCGTTATAAATCTCCTTCAGTGTGAAAAGTCTATCCTTCACCTCCTTATTCGAGACCGCAAAGGAAACCACATGTAAATTTATTAACTAGAGTAAATTACGTTACATATGTAGTACGTCAAAAAGATGCGTAAATTTACAAATTTCTTTTACCGATTTTATGCAGGTTCTCGCTGTTCTCCGTCGCTGCCTCGAAAGTGTTGAGGGTTACTTTTTCACTTCGAGTACTCGACACGTGAATAGAAGAGGTCTGTCCGCTGTGTACCGCTTAACTGGTGCAATAAGTTGAAGTGCGAAAATTTGCCTCGCTTCAACTGATTGCACTAGTTCAGCAGTACAGCGAAAACGAACAATCCTTATGGCTCTAGCAGCCAGCACGATGCGATAACCAAGGCTACTTTCCCAGAAGAGCTAGACGCTTATTGGACGCTCCGATAGCCCACATAGGTGATTGGATGGTGGTCCAGTTGGAATGTGTGCTAACTGGACTCTTTCTCGCGCATCGCGCTGGCTGCGAGAGCTATGAGGAAGAATTCACACCTTGATGGAAAAGCGGAAAAGTATCAATGTCATCAATGTTTGAAAAATATTCGCTCATTGACGTTGGTGTTACATCTAGAGAAAATGTTAGGTACTCTAGAAAGTCTCTATCCAATGTTGTGACCGAATGTCACTAGACGCCTTTTCTTGTCCTATTTTTTATGTCGGAGTGATCCTGACTATTCTTTGAATGGCCGGACGATCCTGCCCTTTCCCGTCGAGCGCCAGGCGATCCTAAACACACCAGCTTTCCTACGGCTATCCTTACCAAGATCCCGCTTCCCCCGCACGGTCGCCAGGACGTTTTTGAAAAGAACGTCCAAACTCACGGCCCGGAAGGCTGGAACGGCTAAACCGACGTTATTTTTTTGCGCACGAGGAGATTCTGCTCTCGAAGGCGCGGTCGTTTCCGAAGCCAAGATTCGTATCGCTGGACGTCTGTTATTACCGATGAGTACGAAGGTAGAAAGGCGCGGAGAGGAATACACACGTTATTCTGAACAATATAAAAAATCACACTGTTTATTCAAATAAAAGTTCACGTGTGAAACAGATTATAATAAAATGAATAAGTATAAGAATTATAATTAGCGCGTATAAGAAAATGTATATAAAAGACACAAAAAACAGAATATAATGCGGTTAAATAATAAATGAGATTAATATATACGGATAATCAAATAAGCCAATAAAATAATGAATAAGCTATACTGTGTACTAATATTCCTCAATCTCGAGCACCAACAAAAAGGTGACGCATCGGACGGTGTCTTTACATGTCCGTTACGACGTAATCGGAGGGCGTCGTTTCTTTACGGATATTTATGAAATAAATTATAATATTCGAACTGTTACCATAAAAAGAACGCGACACCTCAGTGCGACGCGGTATTCCCGACGCGAGCAAGTTTTGACGGGATCGGACGCAAACAAAGGGGTGACGCAATATTCCCGATGCGAGCAAGTTACGGCAGGATCGAACAAAGGGCAATCGGCGTTGTTCGCAATATCGGACCAACGCGTTATCGCGTTGACGGAGGTTCTTTTTCCGTACGGTGATCTTTTTTCCGACGGCGTGTTCGCGACGATGCGAGGATGATACGCGGGGAAGGACAGTGGCCAAGATCGGTGCCACTTACCATAGCTACGGCGATCGGTCGTTACCCGACGTCTCCTGGGCCTTGGTTTGGAGATGTCCACCAAGTCGTCCTTCTCGGGGATGGTTCTGGGCAACCTCGTCGGCAGGATCTCACTTCGTCTCGTATAAAGAAAATCTCGACCCGGATTACCACGACTTCTCACCTCGAAGGTCTGGGAGAAAAAGGCCCTACCCTCCTTGCTACAATTTCGAACGTGGTCTTATTACCGCGAGGCTCTCGGATTCGCTGTTGGCCTCGGCCAATCGCTGTCGCTCTTCGGAGGCTTGCGCAAGCGCGCATCCAGTCGTCACCGGCCTCCGCCAATCGCTTTCGCCCGCTGTCAGCTTCGGCCAATTGTCGTTAGCCCACATGGGCCTTGCGCGCGCGTTTCAATCTTCCGATTCGGCTAGCGCCTGTCGCTGTTTCCCAACCTAGCCCAACCTGAATTGTATGGACTGGGCCAGTCGCTCGACCCCGCCCTACCTGACGTGCTTCGACTGGGGCCAATCACTCTTTCGCGCCGACGCCAGTTAGCCGACCTGGCCTAACCTTACTTTCCGGCGGACTGGGACCAGTCTCTCGACCTGGTCTAACCTAATTTTTTAGTGGACTGGATCCAGTCACCGGACCTGGCCTAACCTCACTTTTAGCTGGCTACTCACGGGGATGACCGGTGATTTCTTCAAATTGATATTGTTAAATTTTATTATTTGTGTTAACATGAAATCTTCTTCATCTTTATGGCCTTGTGCCGTCTTTCTCTGTGCGGGTTCACAGGCGCAACTTATAATAATAAACTTAATCTACTATAATATAGTGCTTGATCTGATCTATAATCTAATATAATATCTAATAAAATAATCTAATATAATAATTTAATATAATGTCTATCTAATATAATATCTAATATAATATCTAATATAATGGTCTAATATAATATCTAATATAATATCTAATATAATAGTCTAATATAGTGTTATTCGTTAAAAGAAAAAAAAAATGGCGTCTCATGCTCTACACCGACGTTTAAGCTAAAGATTGTAAATATAAAACATAAAACAACTTAAAAAAGTCTCTCATTCGAGTTTTTGCTCCCGGTTTCTTTGCTCGTTCTGTGGTCGGCTGCGTTCCTTTTCGCCACGGGGTTTCCGGGTACAGTACATCCGACAAACTCGTCGTATGACGCATCCTCAATAAGTAAACATCGATAATTTTGCTCATCTCTAAAATATAAGTATGGCTTCCGCCTTTCACAGCAGCCTTTCGCGCAGCAGAAATTCGTACGGTAGCCAATCGACAGGCCGTTTTTCACTAAGAACTAGAAGTTTACTTCCGTCGCGCGTTGTCGCGTTCTGTGAGCAGAAGCCATTACATCGTCGCCATGGTCGCTCTCTCTCTCTCTGGCTTCTTTCTGCTACGAGTGAATATGTGTGGGGAGGCTTCTTACATATCTGGGATTGGCCGCTATGCTCGTGTTTTTGCTTTGTCTCATACTATAGTTCCGTCATTCAATAGTTATTTGTTGTAGTCTGTTACCCGCCTCATGATTGTGCACGCAGAATTGTTAGATAGTAATAGAAAATTGCTTGCGTATTTTTCGGGTGTAGTGTAAAGAGAAGTGGTTTTCGTGTAAAGGTTAGTGTAATTTCTGACTTTTGTAGAGTACTGTAAAATTTGTATGTAATATTAAAGTTACATTCTTTTTTTTTCTTCCTCTTGTCAGATGAAACAGCATATATTCTTGCAAAAATATTTATTTATTTAAGTAGTTGCACTTCATTATTCTTAATTAATTGCTCTCTTACTTTAACTCTCCTACATTCTTTCGTTCTTCAATATGGATTCTAAGTGTGCTAGAAGAATTGGATTTTCTCGTGATTGGCTAAAAAACGACATTTCTAAATCTTGGATAAAAGAAGTTCCAGATGATAGCAGTTTATATTTTTGTGTTATTTGCAATAAAACGTTTTCTTGCTCATCACGAGTTTCGAGGCATGCCAAATCAGAAGCTCATCAGAGCAATATGTTAAAAAATGATTCTGAAGAAGCAACCGCAATTGAGAAGGAATCTCGCAGGAGGGAATTTTGCCATTCATGGCTTGAAAATAAAAAATTCAGACCATAGCTGGAAAAAGTCCCAAATGACCCGTACAATTGCTTTTGCTCCTTTTGCAATTCAGTATTTCGATGTGGTCTCGACTCACTTAAGCGACATTCTGATACAAAGAAACATATTTCTGAGTGTCAGGAAAGAGGTTTCATTGTAGATCTTTTTACGTTTGACGAAAAATTGCTTCTTTCTTTTGAAGATCGAAAAAACATTTCGGAAATTAAGCTTGCAGCATTAATTGCCGAAAAAAATATTTCATTCCAAACGGCAGAATCGATTATGAATTTCTTTAAAAACGTTGCAAAATATCCCGATGTCTTGCGGAGTATGACGATGAATCGGAGAAAAAGCCAACAATTAATAATAAGGTCGCCGGAAATTATTAGTAAGGTTTCAAATGTTCGCAACCAAGAGCAATTAGATGGAACATTAGAAAATGACAATGTGTTTGTTAATGAAACAAATCGATATAACTAATGACAAATAGACGTGACGTTTCTTTTTCAGTACGTTTGAATGGAATTATTATATAGAATTTATTCATTTGGATGTGAGTGATTGTAATGCTGACAAATTGTTTACAACTTGTGGGAGAAAAAACAAATTCCGTTTCGAAACATTCTCGTTTTTTCCTGTAATAATGTCTTTCTAGAAAAAAATAATTATATATGAATTTTGTCTATATAAGTCTATGTATAATCACCTGGGAGAAAATGATCATATATGGTCATATATAATTATATAAAATCATATATGAGTATTTTGTCCCTATGTGTGATCGTATATGTCTATACGAAAAAAATGATGTTATGTCATTTAATTAAATGTCGATTTCATGTACTCTCAGAAGTACTCAGAAGTAACCAGAAGCATTTATTTTGATTGCGTATAATTTTGTAAACAACAATATTTTTTTCGTTGTGGATATATATGATTATACAGTCATATATATGGCCAAATCTCATATATGATCTTTTTTTCCAGGCATATATAATTATATGTGTCCTACATCTTAAAAATACTGTTATACGAATGTAATTGAAGTCAATGCTTTATGGCTGCCTACCATATAAACATTTAATCAAAATATTTTGTTCGCATTTCATTCAACAATATTTTTATTTCGTGTGGATATACATAATTATACAAAGTGTCTCATTTTAATTTCGTTAATCTTTTTTTCCGAAAAATAAGTATTTTTGAAAAAAAATGTTTCATGCAAAAGTAAGATGTCAAAAAGTACAGCTGACATTTGTTTGACAAGCGTCAAGCATGTCAGCTGTCTCTTTTGATATACGAAGTGATGGGGTATTTAAACATTTCATGATTAAAAAATTAATCAGTGTAATTCAGTCTCTTCCTAACACAAATGCTGTTGCCGAAAGAATGTTTTTCACGTTGACAGACGTAAAAACAAAGAAACGTAATTAGCTTTTTCCGATTCGAACTCTGCGATTCTGAGGGATAGAAGGCTCGAAATATCATGACAGTTGCTGCACGACATTTGGCTCTCATGTTATCCGATAATTCGCATCAAACAAACGCAACAAAAGATGTATATTTTTTGCGTTTATTTGCTGCTGATAGAGGAGGATACCAGATGCACACAGATTCAGTCGGACACAGCGACCCGCGAGTAGATGTCCCTAGGCATAAGCCAAATGTTTCCGACCGGGACTAAGGCCTGTTCTACAATACGCCGTATGTCGGAGTTGTACATCGGAAAGCAGCCACTGATCCAATGAGAGAATTCATTTTTCGAGAAAGAATTTTATTGGGCCATTGGCTGCGATCCGACTCCTACATACGATGTATCGTAGAACAGGCCTAATTAAATATCCACCTACGTCCTTGAATTTGTAACTAAGTTTGTCGGAAGTTAAACTGAATAACTTCACTTTTTGTTAATTTCTAACTTTAAATATTATAGCACATACTTAATGTGCTAAAGTTAAAGAAGTTACATTAAGTGGAGTTAATCAATTTACTCAGGTAAAACAAAAAGTGACGATAACGTTAACATGATGTCAAAATGATGAAGAGATGATAAAAAAATGAATTTTTATAGATTATTTTCTTGTCATTTTGACATTATTTTGACGTTATTTTGAAGTCATCGTCACTTTCTGTTTTACCTGGGTAGTTTCCGAGAAGCTTAGTTATAGCATGAGCTGCTTGGTGGCTGTTAATATTGCTTATAATATTGCTTTTTTTTTAACACATGTATATATTTCATGGGTCTTTTGCTCTTTTGCTTTTTATTTTTTTGAGTTGGCTATAAGTTTTTATGAAATGATTTTCCACATAATGGACTGGCAAGATATTTCACGTTGATCCCTAATTCTCTATTGAAATTAATTTTATCTCGGGAAAAAAGTTTATATACAATCATATAAAATTATATGTAGTGTCTTCTAAAAGTTCAGAAATGTTAAATGTTATAAAATATCTCGAAAACGATAGTGATAAATATGTAAGAAGCAAAGTTGTAAGATTAAAAATATATTTATCCAATGATGATAAGAGTTTGGCTTTGGGTATGATTATATGGGTATGTTGTGTATATATATATATATATATATATACACGTATGTGTATATAGCATATAGAGCATATGATGATATGAGCATATAGAGACAAAATTCATATATAATCATTTTTTCCCGGGATATTTGGTATGTGTAAATATTAATAAAGCCTTAAAGTAGAATAGATAGCGCGAAAATTCTTTATTAACGTGGGAAATATTTATTTAGGGATTTTTCAGGTTTTGATCAAATGACGCTGTTTTACATTATCCATTCTCAGTTTAGCTCTCTAATACAATCTCACATGATGCAATGTTCACGTTTCGACACAGGATGTAATGTAATGTATATAATGTATGTATCCGTTATCCGTAAGTTCCTCTGGAGTATTATGTATGCGTGCGGTTTCTCCATTAATCTATACAAATCCAAAAATTAATATTTTTTTATTAATTCAAAATTACATTGATTTTTAAGTCAAAGCTACGTCTCGCAATGTAGCATGAATGTCACCACTCGTTTAAATTTCATATTCGTTATATTAAGTCTCAATTGAAGGGCTGACGTAATTAATTAAAAAGACATGTAATAAATCTGCCGTTGTAATTGGCAACTATAATACATTTCTTTTATCGTCTCTCCAAATCCTTCATTTAAAGTAATAGGTTAACCGAAACTGTATCTCATTTCAGTAAACAGTATATTGTAGATTGAGAAAAAGCTCTGATGACTTTTCTGTATAATTACAATTGCGGTATAACGTGTCAACCCTTAGAGCTTTCGTACAACTTCAAAAATCGACAAAAAGGTAAAAAATGAAGGGAACGTAGAAAAATAGGAAATCAATTTGCGCATTAAGTATCGGGTAGTAGTAACGAGAAGTCCTGTAATCACCTCAATCAGACGCTTAGAAACCCCAAGCAGAACACAGCTAAGATAATAGGAGGAGGAAGAAGAAGAAGAAGAAGCAGCAAGAATAATCAGCAATGCCAAATTTTAAGGAGGGGGATATTTATTATCAATATGGCAACTGCAACATGTATTATGGGAATTCCTATTGCAAAGCAGATCCTCTTGACTTAAAACGTTTGCTGAGTGTAAAAAGTTGTTTGTGGAAAAAGATTGTTCTGAAAATTGTACATAATATTTGGCATATCACCTCATCTGTAACGAGAGAGTAAAGAGTGTCACGGAAATTGATGTCGATAGAATACTGCTCGATCAGTATTGCTCGAAAAAAAAAATGTAAAGCATTATATAAAGTGCGTGCAATGGTTGGTGATGATTTACATAGAAATGTGGAGAGCGACAGAAGAGAAAGTATCAGATTTGGATATGAATTTCTTCCCTAAGTCGTTGCCCGTCAACTATAGGCCCATACATATTCCAGGAACCACGGACGGTGTTTCCTCATAATGTCACATTTGTCGAACTATGCATAATGACGTTTTTCTGCACGCAGAGCAACCATACTTCGATACGATTTTACCCCAGTAAGCAAATTGTCTTCAGATAACGCGCAGATTTGCAGCAAATTCGATTAGAATCCCATACCAAAAAATAAAACAGATTCTGTTGGATTTGTTGCCTTTCTGCTATAAAAAATTTATAGCAAACTCTGTTTGCGCAGGTTTGGCTATCTGGATACATCTCTGTATCATCAAGTGGATGCATTTCAATTTTGATGACGCTGGCCTCAAGTAGACGTTTAAGCGTAATTACGTTCCGGTGATGTGCTGGAATCTCAAAGTTGGAACAGCTACACCAAGAAGAAGAATATCGCTAAGCAAATTTATATGAATTACCGCAGCATCGAATTTCATCATTTTACGTATATATCTTTTGTAGGGGAAGTATGTCGAATATTAAGTACTGAAGTGATTAAAAATGATTTGAAATTAAATATGACTGATATAAAATTCAAACGAGTCGTGACATTTTTGCCACATTAAGTAAAGCGTGAGATGACCTAGCGCAAACATGGATATGTAACTGTTACGTTCTTATAATGAAACGGAATGTAATACGCAATGTATTACGTGTATAAATTGATTCGGTGCCTTTGCATTTAATGTCCAGTAACTTTGATTCAAATTAAAATTTTTTTTCCATCCTAAGATGATTTGAAAGTGCCAACCTTAAGCTTTAAGAAGCATTATAATAGTTGCCGTCTTATAACCTCAGAAAACAGTAGTTATCACGATGTTGTTTGAAAAAAAAAACAACTTAGGCAACCTTCTTGCACTTCGGTTGAATCAAAATGCTGCTCAGTCTATCGAAATGATTTGTTCCGCTTTGGATGAAAGTGCTATATAGAAGGTGACCCATAAAACTTGTAAAAAAACCTTTTACTGACAATAGAAGAATAGGCAAGTGATTCTGCTGCACGATAACGCGCGGCCACATGTCGCAAAAGAGAGGAAGGATCTCATCTAAACATTGGGCTGGGAATTTCTCTCTCGTGCAGCTTATTCTAGAGATCTAGCCCCGTCAGGGCTATTTACCATCTATTTTGGTCGCTTCAAAATCATCTGGCGGATACACATTTTAAAAAAGTTGACAAGGCCCGTAAAAACATTGATGACTTTATTGAGTCAAAATTACTAAGTTTTTTTCCCGCAAGGGCATTCATCAGTTACTCGATATACATGGAATGAAGTCATAGAAAATGATGGAAATTATTTTGAACATTAAGCTTGTATTTGACTTTTTGTAAATAAACTTTGAATTTGATGAAAAAAGGCAGCGAATTAATTTGTACACCTAATAACACACATGTACCAGTTAGTAGTAATTTTCTACATATATGAATTATATAATGTAAATATAACATGTCACTAAAATATTATACAGATGTTATGTAACTGTTATGCGGGAAGTAATACAGATGTTATATGTAATTGTTAAAAATGTAACTAAAATGTAAGAGTTATATAAATTAGTATATTTTTCTTGTCGTCTTTCTCTTGCTCTGTAAAGTGTAATCATTTTGCAAATTGTACTCTTTATACTGTAAGTTTTCTTTTTTTCCACGAGATTTTCTGTTTCACGTTTATACCTCATTTACAAAAACGCATTGTGAATTTCTGTGTTCCAAAATTTACTGCCAGCGTTGAAAATCTAGTTCATGTTACTATAGATTTTCGGAACTGGAACGCAGCCTGTAATGTACATGTTATAAAACGTCGCCTGAGATACTTCATAAAGGACTGATCAAATTTCGTGTACATACAACTGAACTACTTCTAATGGAATTGCACTTACATCGAGCTGCGTTTTGAATACGTCTACTGTGCTTGTCTTATAACACATTGATGGAATGAGAGGTCTCTTGAATATAGATTTTTTAATGGAATGCGAGACGAGATTACCGTTCTACTATTTTCAATGTGTTACCTAAAAATAAGAATATTTTATAACATAAATATTCACTGTGTTGTAAAATCAGTAATGTTGTTTGTAGTGTACTCCACAAAATGTTATGTAAACGTTTAAGAAACGTTTCTCGTTGATTGACCTGCTGAACAGTTTGTTTTTCTAACGATCCGAACATATCTGTATGAAGTGCCAAAAATGTACATTCTGGCCCGTTTTCCAACGGTTCTCAAACATTTACATGACGTTTATATGTTGGTGGGGCAGCAAGTTGAAGCTTACCTCATTTGTGCCATAATTAAGTTCACCAGATAACTTTTGTAAGAAGAAATATAAAAAAATTATCGTTACATATGATGCTGGATGACACTGAATTAGTTATATATTATTCATCGAATATAGCTAATCCCACCAATATTTTAGATTCATAATTTTCGATTTGTGACTACTGATGAACTTGGGGAAGGATTAGAATATATATATATATGTTTCTTTTCAATAAGAATAAAAATGATAAACATCTTACCTGCAACACTATCATATTGTACTAAATTAACCACGTATTCGAGTGATATTTATGTTTAAAAACCGCTCAAAGACGATCCAAGAGAAAGGGGCGCCTTTGAAGACGGACGACAGGGCCAAACTGGAGACTTCTACCGCGAGGTCATGGATTCTTTTCTGAAAACAAACTTATGTGGAATTACGCGCTCTCATATTTTCCTGCAAAGATAAAATAATAATTCTTAAAAGTTTACCATTTATGCAACATCACATGGAGTAGCGAGATATAATAGATGATAAAAATAAAAGCTTGTGGTGAAAGTGCGTTTTCGGGAAACGATGCGAGTGGCACGATCAGACTGTTATAGCGTAGCTATGTCTGAGGAGGAGGAGGAGGAGCAGTCCAAGGTTTGGGGATATGCGCGTGCGTATGCACGCGATCTCCTTTTCCTCGGTCGCACACACGGAGGAAAGGAAGAAATGATTTCTTTCTCGCGAGAATGAGGTCCTTCGAGATCGATAACGAGGAACTCTTCCGAAGAAGAGCAGTATCGCGCGCGTTAAAGCTACGAGATGATTCCGAGAGTGCAGCACGCGATAACGGGAGAAAGGGGTGAAAGGTGGGGGCGGTGAGAAGCTTGCGCGGAGAAACGGCGGAGTACTCGGCAGTTGCCATTCGCGGCTTCGTTATTGTCACTACCGGCGCGAACGCGTATCGGGGTCGCCAACCGGTAAAATTTCACCCATCCACCTAGATTCGTTCAGTTACCAGTGCTGACGACGCCTTTCCGCCAATACGCGAAAGGCGACGCGAGAGTCCTCGTGACGACAAGACGAGGGTATCACACAGTCACGTGAATATATCGGGATTCCATTCCCGTGGGATCCGCGTGCGATAACGAGTTCAGTGCAAAGTGAAAATATTCTCGCGCGAGCATATCGTAGAAAAGAATCGAGAAATTATGAATACCTCGCCTCGCCTCTCTCTCTTTATCAGACGGTCTTTCGCCGAGACGAAACATTCTAATTTGCGATAATGGTGCGGCGAGAGAGAACAATGACCATCCGCGAGGCGTCATCGGCGCGAAGAAGAGGCGAACAACGTCTCGTCGCAACACCGAGCAACCGCTAAGAGCACGACGATGGCATCGCGCTACCCCAGGAAAGAAGGCATCACTGCACAGACTGATTGTCCGATCGTGTGTTCTCCGCGATTCGGCTGTCGCATCGTTGTCGGGTGATACTTTTCCCCTGGGCGAGAAGTCAAGGACGAGAGAGAAGAGGGAGAGGAGAGGGGGGGATTTCGTACACACCGAGTCACTGTGTCGGCGGAGGGAAAGTTTCCGCGGGGTAGGAGGGGCCGGAAAACACGAGGATGATCGATAACGCCGTCGAGTCGGGAATCGGCGATCGGGCCTGCTGGGAGAGGAAAACGCAGTAATCCGTCCGCAGCGGATCGTAAAAGGATAAATAACGGCGTTATCGAACACGCGCGCGCGTTGATTGACTTCAGTGAAGGTCGCTACGGGGAGGAAGGAAGGAATATGTCCGATAAGGAAGATGTCGCACCGCGAGGAGCCACTCACGTACCGTTATCAATTCACAACTGTGATTTTTAAGCTTAAGGTTATCTAACATTGTCAAGAGGACAAAATCATCCATTGTGATATTATGATATATATAGCGAAGGATCGCGCGAGGGGTGGAGGATCCCACGTGCGTTCTCATGGAGAATCACCAACCGCATGAATGAACGAAAGAACGAACGCCGCGAGGCGCGATGGCGAGTGTTGCACGCGAGTGTTTTCGATCGGGATAACAATGCTTGATGGCGGTCGAATCTGCGAATTGATTACCGCTTGATCTCCGCGACGACGTCAAGGAAAATTCTCTACTACCGCATGGAAGATCGGGACGAGATTTCGATGCGGGATTTCCTTCATCACCGGTCATGATAAATCGCCAGGTGCGTAAAGCGAGCATTCGAGCGATTATTATTATTATTAAAAAACCGAACCGAGGACGATAGGTCCAATTGCAGACGGGTAAGTTGATTTTCCTCAAGTGAATGTTTCTTAGAAAATCCTCTGCTGTTAGTTTTTTCGTGAATATCTCTACGAATAGACCTGTGAAGATTTATCATCGTTAACAACAAATGAAAGTACGAAAAATTGTACGAAGGTGCAAAAGAATAAGTTTTCCGTTTTTTGAAAACAAAATCAAATGTATAATGAATTAAAGTTTCCTTGAAAATGATCTAACAGTTTGTAATGCAAATATATTTGAAATATTATTAGGAAAATACTATGCTGTTTTCTACTATTGGCCGAGTTATTTGTACATGATGAAGATGTAATATTTGTCGAATCGAAATATTTTCTACAGTACCGAATATTTTAGAGAGGTTATAATCTTATACATTTTAATATGTACCATCCTTACATTATAATATTGTCGGAATCTCAGCGACCAATCTTCTCATTTTGCGCATATGCTAATATGAAAATATCACAAAATTATGAAATATGATTTAATTTATTTTATATATGAAATTGAATATTTATATTTTTAAAATGAAATTGAATATTTATATTTTTAAAATTATTTTTCATTTATTAAGAAATTAGATTAACTAACTTTGCAGATTGTTTGTGAAATCCCTTTCTGAAGAAAAAAGATTGAGCTATTCAGTTGTTGACGAAAAGCGATTGAAAATTATTCAAACAAGTCTCATTTAGAAAGTATTATTTGAAGGAAAGTTTGACATATGAAAAATGGCTTTCTTTGGTATCGAGAATTTTCCGGTGAATTCCATATCGATTATTCTTGGATGTATAGCAAAGGAACAATTTTGTCAATATAAGAAATACATACAATATAAATATATATTATACGAGCTGATAGCTGGTTGTACTCGTCGCCTATTTCTCAGCAACAGCAACCATTAGAGTCGATAGGTTATCGGCTGATCGCCGCTTGAGATCGGATCCATTTAGGAATATGAAAAAGAAAAAAAAAACGTACGTTATCGGCTTCTTTTTTTCACAATGTTTTCCATGAATATTGAATTCAACAACGTCTGACAATGCAGCGGACATTTCTTTTCAATGTTGAATTTACATTACGCAATCTTTCTGAAATGTTGATTCAACGTGAGTGTGCTATATAGGATTTTTTCTTGCAAGATTATCAAAAATAATATCAGAAGGTCCTTGGCATATATAAATTCAGCATTGCCGTTCCTAGGACGTTAATATGAATTACATTTTCTAACGGTCGACGTCGGTCGTTAGTGTCACTGGTTAGTGTCCGCGGATTTTGGATGCCAGGCTCGGCAAAAAATCAGATAATCGCTCGGTACTGTCACGCTCGTGCGCGAGATGTGGTCGATTCGGAACATAATTCGGTGAGAGACAGCGATGGTAAGCGCCGGTGGATAAAACGGCGGATCCCACGGGCGGGTCGGTATACTTGGTGGTTCTCGATTTGTTTGTTAACGTACGGTTCTTCCGACGAAGCGCGGACATATTGAGATGAATCGGTTGCTCACGGAGACGGAAGTAACACGGTGATCGTAATCAGCAGAAACCGATTTCAGACCGGTGCCTGCAGTCCCCTTTACTCGATCGTTGTTCGGATCGCTTTAGTGACGGCTTATATACTCACACGATGGTTTCCAACGTTGTTATTATAACGAATCGCGTGTTGCTTTTGAGAAAGTGGCGCCGCATATACGGCCGATACATTACTGCACAACGATGTTGCCAACCACCAATATTAAACACTGCGTTCTTTTTAATTTTTTAAAAATGAGGCTGCAAATATGATTTGCTCAAATTCGCTATCACGTTGTATAAAATTTGTGGTAGCAAAAGTTTTCAAGTGGTGATTTCTTTCTTCATCAAGAAGAACGCGCGCCGAAAACATTTGAAGATGAGGAGCTTGAGCAATTATTGAATGAAAATCCTGCTTAGATTCAAAATGAGCTTGCGTTACGAGTAAATTAAACTAAGACTAACCCGTCAATCAATTTCTGTTCGCTTACATAAGCTGGGAAAAATTCAGAAACTAGGCCGATGGAATCGATGAATTCTACACGAGCTCAGCTCGCGGAGAGAACAAACAGAGGAGGTTCGGCGATATCCTTGATAATGAGACATTAAATGAAGGCACCTTTGTGCAAAACCATTACTGGCGATGAGTTTTGTACGACAATCCTAAAAGAGAAAGAAGAATCATAGGTTGACCGTGAATATTTAAAAAAAAGTGTTATTCTCCTCATTTCATGAAAGACATTATGAGTCAGACAATTAATGCTGAGTATTATCAACAATAATGTAAGTATTATCAAAACTATATGATAACTCATTCGTTTGAGCGATACAATAGAGAGGAGAAAACTGTCTTGCAGCACGATAACGCAAAAGGGACACCATTTATTTGTTGGGCTGATAATTTTTCCTCACGCGGCTTATTCCGATCGCTCCAACACCACCTGCTGCGGATGCATCCGAAAGTGTGTCGAAGCTGCCATTCTTTTAATCGGAAGAGCCAGCTGCTCGATAGATGGAGCAAAGTATTAGAAAATAATGTTTCCACGATTGATATGTTTAAATGTCTAAAATAAACATTTACTTCAAGCCCAAAAAGCTACTATTCTAGAGCAATCAAGTTATTCATGCAATCCCAACTGCGCGCATTTCCCTTTTTATCCTCGTTTAAGTATCATTCGTGATGTCATGATGATCTTTTTGTTTGCTGTGTTTCAGTGGAACGCAGGACTCAACAAACGATATTCATTGCCGGCGAAAGAGCTCAACCGAGCGTGGATGAATATCAATGAGACACGGAGTGTCAAATAACGATTATTAACAAGGCAAAAAAAGAGAAGAAGGAAGAAAAACGAGAAGATAGCACGAGAGGAGGGGGAGAGAGGAGCGAAAGCCGCGTGGAAGTGCAAGAAGAAACGTAGTGCGGTAACTCAAACCAGTGTGTGTACCACCCCCTGGCCCGGGGGGTGGCACAGAAACGCCGTCAGCGTGGGTGCCGGTGCCGCAGGGGCGCGCCTGGCCCGTCGGCTCGCCCGCAGATTAGCACGCCGATTAGCGGCTACCTCGGGCCCCTTTCGGCGTACCGGCCTGGCGACCTCGGGGGGCCTCACGTCGGCGGCGGTGGCCGTGGCGATTCAGCAGGGGGAGCCGCATGCTCCCCCGGCTGCTGCGTCACGCCGCGCCACGCCGAACGGAAGCGCCAGCGGCTCGGGTTGTACCACGACTACGACCGTCACCACGAGTCGTAGCAAGAACAAAACCATGTCCGTGAGAAGCCTACACCGACGTGTCTCTCACCCGTAAGTTCATCTAGCCTAGTGTTATCCTTATGGAGGGGTTGTACGACCACACCCCGCTTGTTATCACACCGGCCGTTTCTACATTATCTATCTATCACACTTTTGCCGTCGGTAGCTGAGCTAAAAAAAGATAGCAACTTGACTCTCTTCCGGTGTGGATAACGACCGGACGATGTCACTTGATACATGTGAGCGCTTTTCCTCACTGTGTACTTTCACATTCTCCAACCTTACACTCCTTCCTTCTTTTTCTTATTAACATTACGTTGAGTTATTATTTCGTTTCCAAGATCTCACTTCTGCCGCTTCTCTCGCTCATGTTGTCTCGTTGATGAACGTGATTTTTAAACCTCTCGCTGCGGAAATCGTGCGTATCGTACGAGAAGTAGAGTCTTATTTAAAGCGCGCTACAATGGAAAAGTAAATTGAGCACGCTCGTCCGTTTTCTTTTTCTACGTCTTTCGTAAATGTTAATCTTTTATTATGGTAAGTAATTATAGCTTTTTAGTGTCGCCATATCGAAAGAGCCGAATAGCTGACTGTTGTTTTAACTTAGATTCGGCAATGGGCGCAAAGGACGATCTGGATTTTACAATTTTTCGCGATCTGTATAATAATATTTATTAAATTACCATAATCTAATACCATATATGACAGAGACGTCGATTCTTCACATTAGTTCGTTAATTTAACGATAAAAGGAAAGAAGTGTATATAGAAGGATCAGATGATTTATGAGGCGATGAAAAGAATCACGATAGCGACTCATATATATATATATATTTTGACACTCAATTATTTCGGCTATATCGCGGCAAAATAATATCATTGCGTTTGCAAAATGGCATTCCTGTTCAACACCCCTGTTCAATTTGATCCATTTTATCTGCACACGACGATTGTCAGACGCTTCATATAAAATTTTTATTTTAATTTATGTAAACGCGTAAAATAATAAAAGACATCACTTTAATGAAAAACAACAGAAATATATGCCTTATGACGGAGCGTCCAATTAAAAGCAGGGATAATTAGAAGTTATTATATAGCTCGCAAATTAAAGCTGAGAATAAAGGATTCTAAAAAATATCTTTTAGTTTAACTCAACTCTATTTGTTATCAAGCCACTTTTTTTAATTTTGCAAAAAATTATCGTAATTATAAATAATTGAAAACACGATTAAGGATTTTACAAAATAACCAGAGTTTAATGCTAAAAAAAGAATAAAATAAATCGATTAAAACTCTCAGTAATAGAAAATAGAGAATATATAATAATAAAGAATATTCGTCTAAAATTGCAAAGCAATTAGTGCATTATAAAATGAGTTAGAACGTTCATCATTCGGACAAACATAGTTTTGATAAAAAAGACAAACGCGTTTTAATGAAAGTTTACGTTAACATAATATTCGTTAATAAATTTCTATTTTTTCATTGATATGCCCACTCCATAATACATTTTTGATGATGTTGAAAGAAGTGATCCCGCTAAAAATCTTATGATACTTTCAAAAGGACTTTTTCCCAAAGTGAAATTGAACGCGCATTTGTACATAATACGTCCTATTTTATGCAATAGTTCCATACATTAGGTCCAGTTACATAAAAAACAAAGAAAAACACAATCTGACATAGTCTGTTACTTTTTCTTGCTCTATAACATACTCAAAATCTATCAAAATCAATAAACGATATTTTTTATAGTTCTTCATCACTGAGTATTGTTTGTTTTGACGAAATAAGTTACTCGTGATACGGTGTTATTCAATAATTGAAAAATGTTCAAAATGCTTCTCATATGATATTATTGAAGAAAAATGCAGCTAAGAGTTATCACAGAAAAAGAATTTTGAAATTCTTTTCTAGTCTAGTCTTCTAGTCCAGTATTGTTATTATTATTCGTGACCTTAAACTGATGTTTTGCTCGGATCTTACATTTTTTAAAAACATCTAAAGTCAATAACAGCCTTGGCTTATAAAAAAACTTGGTTTTATTTCTCGCTATTGCAGTGATTTAAAAAATGAAAAAATATTAAAAGTTTTATATTGTGCGCTAATCCAACCAATACTATTCATTGATCGGATCGCTATATTATGATTGTTATTTGATTTGTTCCTGATTTTCAATAAAATTCTCTGAGGATAAACATTCTCAGTGAGTTTCAGGTTTTGTTTTCGAAATAGTAGGTGCTGTTTAACTTTTAAACGTTGAGGTTATATGAATACATAAAAAACAAAGAAAAACACAATCTGACATAGTCTGTTACTTTTTCTTGCTCTATAACATACTCAAAATCTATCAAAATCAACAAACGATATTTTTTATAGTTCTTCATCACTGAGTATTGTTTGTTTTGACGAAATAAGTTACTCGTGATACGTTGTTTCAACGTAAAGGATTAAAAACGGACAATCCTCATACCATAACGCGTCTATATCGTAACACAACGTCCTGAAATTTCACAGCTCGCTCTGGTTTTCACGATTTTCCATAGGTAGACGTATCGCAGTACCTTTCGCATCACATTATATCGTACTATTTGACCTACATTCGATGTCGATTAGCAAGTATACCGACTATACGCACGATGTAACCGATCGGACGAAGAATAATTATAATAACCGTATTGAACGTTCAATCGTATCGAACCTCGTCTTCACCCCCCCCCCCCCCCCCC